GGGGAAGGAGAATTGTGCAAGTTGAAATAAAGAGGGAAAAAAAAAACCTTTTCGCCGGCAAAGATTGAAGACGGCGCGGCTCAGAGACACTCCTCTGCGCCGCCGGTACTGAAAGGGAGTAGAGAATTTTGTGTGTGCGTGCTTTCTTGGTTTGTCTGCATCTTCCCTGCGTTCAGGCTGAATAGAACTGGTACTCCTTAGGATAAACGGGTTCCTGGTAAAATTTCTGCTTAAAGGTGCAGTATCCTGTTGAGTTGTAAGTTAGTGGCATTTCCAAAGCCCTCTTGTGAATAAAACTGGGCTCTCTCAATACAATCCTGTGCAAACTTTGACGTGGGACAGAGATTTTCTCTGGCTGTTTTTCAACAAAGTATGAAAAAAAGTGTATTTTATTCATCCTGGCATTATCTGAACAGTTTACATCTTCGAAGAAGAAAATGTTCAAATTCTTACCTCTTGACTGGTGTAGAGTCCCATGGGTCAGGTTATCTGCAATGATTTCTAAATACAAAAAGGATGAGGGGGTGATTTAGCAGTACAGATCATTCATGTCACTAATTTCCTTAGCAACCGTACAGCTAGAAGAGATTCCAGTTATGGTACTGCACATGGCCGCTTTGTGCTTTTAAATTAGGGTTATTTCCTTTTCAGTGCTGTAAAAGGGCTATACGTCACTATAGCCTATTGGCTGACACAAAAGGCTGTATTTTCTTGTTCTAAGGTTGTAAAGAATTAAACGTCAATTTAACGTGCAAGAGAAAACAAATGGTAGTGATGCCAAAGCCGTTTCTTGATTTACTACTTACCATACTAAGTTTTAAACAAACTATTACATAAATCATGCTGTCAGCTTGGCTATTAAAAAGAACAGTACCTCAGGATATTACCAAAATAAGCTTTTTTTAATGCTAAGATTAAATTTAATGGGCAAAAGATTTTTTTTTCCCCTGGACTATGTAACACTAAAGTGCTGTAAATGCCATAATCTCTTCAGCTGCCACACTTGTATGAAGGAAGGGTAGCACCTATTCCTTGGGCTCTGTTTGCGGTCGTCTGACTCCTCATTAATTACCAGGCAGGTGTTCAGGAGCCTCAGGTCTTAGCAGGATAAGGTCTGTCTTTTCCTTTGATGTGCACGGGTGGTCCTTTAAGGGGGTGCAGGAAATGAGAATATCCCACTGCTTAGGCCAGGCCGTGCTGGTTACAGGGAGTGGGCACTGACGCGCTTTCTGGGACGTCCAGGGCTCAAGACCCTGCTTCCGGATCCTTCCCTTGCCACGTTTGCCAGGCGCGACCCTTCTCCAGCGGGGGAAGGGAGCCAGGCCCTTTTGTGAGTGAAAGAGTAGAGCCAGAGGAGTGCACACCAGCAGCTTGTGTTCCTCGCACAGCGCAGCACGGGTACTGTCTGTCTGTGTCTGTCTGTGTCTGTCTGTGTCTGTCTGTGTCTGTCTGTGTCTGTCTGTGTCTGTCTGTGTGTGAACTTGAATTGGTACACCAGTAGTGCGTCGGGTTGGCTGTTTCTGAGCTTTGTGCTTGGTCACATTCTGGTTGGGACATGAAGCTCGTTCACAGCTGCAGTTTCGACTTCAGCAACTGGTTCCTGAAAGCTGCTTTTAGTTCTGAAAAATGGAAATTTGCGTGTACCAGGTGCCAAGGGAACCCAGATGTGTTAGACTGTGATTTGTGGTGAGGTACGATGCTATTACACATTACCGTTTTGTTCCTTTCTCTTAGGGCTTCGGTAAACAATGCACCCTATTGACACTGACTGAACCACAGCCGGCTTTCCAGTGAAAGTCTTAAGAGTGCTAACAATTTCTATTCCTAACCTTTTTGTTCACAGAAATGAAAGTTTTTAATGTGGACACTTTCATCCTTTTTACAAGCAGAGAGTTGTTTATTTTAAATGCACAAGTTTTAGGGTCTTAACTTTTATCTTCGTGTTTGTTGTAATTTTGTGCAAATCAGAAATCAATATGTAATACTTATTAAAGTCTAGCTATTTGTGCAAACATTTTTCCTCCAGGTCTTTGAATAGTCATTTGTACTGCTGTACCAATACTCAATACTTGCAGTTGATCTACACTTTCCTGGGAGCAAGTTCTGTATGCCTCCCTAAAATACCTCCTAAAAAGGTGATGAACAAGGTGCTGCACGTTCACTTCCAGTCCTTAGTGGTAAGGCATAAAAACCTGAAGGAGACCATCACCACAATGCCTCATGTCCTTCATAATCCAATCTTGTGTATAAATGTGATCTTTCTGTTAGGAAGTATTTCTGCTACCAGTGCTGTGTTTCAGGAGCTTGTGTATTGGCTGGTAACGAGAGAGAAGGAATTCATCTAGCAGCAAGGTTTTCAGAGACACACAAGAGGTGCTACAACAGACTTTCTAAAAAAAAAAAACACGCCAGAGCCGCTAACAGCAGATTGTTCCTTTGTTGTGATGCCGGCGGGTTAGTGGTACTGTTGGCTTAATTCTGGGGATGTTGCTGTAATCTTGTGCTCGACATCAGCTGTGAAGGGATTGCTTGTGATCATGGAGAGGAGATGTACTGTAGGGCTTTTATATACCTACAACAGCACGTAGGGTTTCTCTCTAGCTCACCCGGAGAAACACCACCACTTGTCACTGGTGCTCGCCCCGGCCTTAAATGTCCCTGAGCAAGATGGGACAGAGCCGAAACTTGTAGCCCTGCTTGCTGCGTCTTCCCCTTTCGGAGCAGGGCTCGACGATGTCGGATTCCGCTCGTGCATCGGGCTCGTATCCGTGCCTCGGGCAGCTTGCGGAGCGTGGGAAGTGCGAGATATGAGGCGTTGCTACCTCCAGCAAGAGATGCTGTTCTTTATTGGTAACTGCCTACTCTTTTTTTTTTTTTTAAGTGCCTCTTTCAAAATCTGAATTAATGCGGGTCGTCCTTTGAAGGTATTGTTACAGTTTAATGTATTCCACCTCAGTGCATGTAGGTTTGCAGCATTTTCATATTTGGAACACGGCTCTTCATTCACTTGTTTAAGGAAGCGGCGAAAAGGGTGCTGTTTATAGGAGGTAAATGTGGTCTGGCTTTCTGAGTTTACCGAGTCAGCTCGAGAAGGAGAGACGAGGGGATGAAACCAAGCTCTGCCATCGCGATTATTTTTTCCCCAGAGTAATTTTTTTTCTTCCAAATATTTTCCCCATATTACATGTATTTTAAGTAGATCACTGCCTCTCACAATTTGGTAGAAGAACCTGATCAATTAATACTCATCAGAGGCCTTGCCTTAAATAATTATTTTTAACCCCCAATAACTCCCTACGTCTGTAGATCCCAGCAGAAGACAATGTTTGTTAGCTTCAGTAAGTGTTATTTTCATTTTCCACAGTGCTAATCAGGACAAAAGAACTGTGAATATCCCACATAGAATCTACTATTGCACAAGGGGTGCGAAGATGCTTCAGTCATATATGGGGAAATAAATGTTCCACTTTAACTAGTCACCTGTGTCCATTTTTATTCTTGTTCCTAGTATGATATGGTCATTATATACAGTATACAGGGGTTTGGCAAAACAGCAAATAAGGATTCGTATTTTGAAGTATCTAAACTGCAAATGAAACAGATTTTACCAGTGTTTCATATTCATTCCAATGCTAATCATCAATATGTTTCTGCTATAAAAGGCATTTTGAAATCATCACTTTTTATTTGGGAGTTTCTGAGCAATAGGAGAGATCTAACAGAGTTTAGTCAGATAGTTGTTGCCCAAATTGCAGGTGTACATCGTGAACTTCACAAAGCTAAAAGTTATGGTAGGGCTGCCGGTCTGAAGTAGCTTATACCCCAAACCAATGTGCAACACCATATAACCTGTTGTAGTGAGTACAAAACCTGGACTTCTGAGCAGTGGAAGAAAGTACTGGTCTGATGAGTGGTCTTTTGCTACATCATGAATGGTTTATATGTTTGGAGAAATCTGAAGGAAGACTTCAGTCCACATTGCCTGTTCCCAACTATTAAACATGGTGGTGAATTATTACTCTACATGGTAGAATTACAGCCAAGGAATTCAAAGCTATTTTAGGTGACCAGGTGCACCATATGGTACATTTTGTCTTGAAGATGTTCCTCAAGAATCAGGTTTTATGGAATGGCCAAATCAAATTCCAGACCTCGACCCAATTGAGATGCTGAGGTGAGGCTTAAAGAGATGTGCATAAACACATACCCTCAAACTTCACCGCGCTGAAGCAGTTTTGTAAGGAGGAGTGGGCCAGAACTTCTCCCAGGCGATGTGAGAGACTGATAACGTCTCACAGGAAATGTTTCCTTCAAGTCATTGCTGCTAAAGGAGGTTCCACACTTACTTTTTCACACAAGGCAACTGAATGTTGGCTGATTTTATTGTTTAATAAATAATGACAAGATAAAATGTGTGTGTGTTATCTGTCACATGAGGTTAGGTTTATCTACTGTTAGGGCTTTGTAAGGACTATGTGAAGGTCAAATATGTCTTAATTTGTAAAACAATAGAATCTTAAGAGGGTGTACTTTTTGTCACATCACTGTAATATCAGTGGGTAATAAGACATGCGGTGTCAAGGCTGGTTCGGGGCTGTGTTCAGGTGAACACAAGTTGAGTTCCATCCTGGCCAGCAGTTTATAATGTAGTTCTGGTGGGCAGCTGCGTCAGCATGCGTAGGCTGCAAAGCAACAAGTAATAGGTTTATGCAACGCTGAAAAGAGAAGAAACAAAACGCATTTCGGTTGTGGACACCCGAAGAAGGCTCTCCAGCCGAAACGTCGTGTTTTCCTTCTTCTCTTTGCAGCATGGAATAAACCTTTTTCTTGTTCCTTTAGCGGTTTACAATGTAGTCCAAAGTCAGCACGTGCACTTGGGCCGAGAGAGAAGTGCTGTCAGCCCAGACAGACTCGTGTGAAGATGCATCCGGGATATCGCTGGTATAGCCACGAGGCAGCCTGCTTTGTCACACCCTCCAGCGGCTGGCGATGCGGAAGCATCATGTAGGTGATGCAGACTCCGCTTCCCCACTTGACAGTGGGTTGGAGGGCCAGCTGGGAAGGATGCGTCACCGGACCATGTCATGGGAGCCAGGCCGGTCCTGATTCTGGTGGGTTGTGAGAGGCAGGACCTGCTCGTCGCAGTTCCGGTTCTCCTCTCTTGGTTGCCCGGTGACAATGATGGTGCTACTGCATGCGAAGGTGTGAGCGGCTCCGTACGTTTGCTGGCATAGCCAAGAGAGAGAGGTCGGCAGCTGCCCAGTCCGCCTGGTGGTTTTCTGAGCCCATGGAAGGCCACCGCCTTCGATGGCCGAGAGCTCCTCGCCAGGGAGCCTGTCCTGTGCACGGTAGTGAAGAGTTGGCCACCTCCTTCCATTCCTCTCAAGGTTTTAGACGTCTCTCTGAATGATGCCATCAGTCTCAGCTGCTTTCCAGTTTCTCCTGGCTCAGCTGACGCCCCACTTTGGTTCAGGGGTGCAGACGGGGGGACCCTGGGATTTTGTCCGAGGCGCTTGCTGTATCTAGCCTGAACCATCTGCCTTAGACCATTGTTGACAGGGATCTTTACTGATCCTCATAATCATTGCAGATTGTCAGGTTAGTTGATAACGTTCATGTAAACAGGACCTGGCAGTTTTGTAAAATAGGATTCGTGGGCTTTCCATCAGCATATTTTTCATTAAGTCGTTCCTATCAAACACTATAAATACCAGTGGATTTCCGTCCCGACTCTTTTGTGATCATCCACTAGAAATATTGAACACTTTTTTTTGCAAATAACTCTTAAGAGGCTGTATTTGAACAAAACACTTTGATGACTCATTGAACACATTTTGGACACATTATGTTATGTGAAACTAAATTAAGCAGACCTATTATAGAAAACAATCCAAAACGAGTGGAATGAATTAATTGATTACGCGCATTGAATTAATTCAGACAACTTCTCGGAAAATATTTGTGGTGCCTAGTGGTATGACCCACCTGTTCTAAGACTTTTTGCAGGGCTGGGCCTAACGTGAGCAGTTTGCAGTTTTTTCTGTTCTTACGGAGAGTGGTTGCAAAGGCCTTATGGATAACCAAAGATTATCAGATTATGGTAGGCAGACTATCAACAAGTCCTCCCAGTGACAGGTGATTTTGTGATTGTCTTTTTTCCCCTCTTTGACAGAATACGTACAATTTTGTATCTGTTCCTGCATAATATTTTTAATATTTAATTTGAAAGGCATTTTCCCAGGTTTGAGAACAGAATACCACTCTCTACCCTGGAGGATTGCTATTTAAACATAAGGCAGAGGCCACATGTAAATAAATGAACTTTGAATATCTTTTTAAAAGGCCATTGGTGTAACAGAAAGACAGGCTCTTATTTCTGACAACTTGTAAGCTCTAAGGTAAGCACTAGTCTACTACTACTTGTATGAATATGAGTTAAAAATAATATAATGCAACCCTAGGTTTTATTGCTGTACATAGTATAAATATTTTTTTCCACATTGTTTTCAGACCATTTGAAAAATCACACTAATATTTGAGAAATGTAACTGATGTTAGAATTGTATGAAGACATACAATAAATTTAACATACATGTTATAATAAATTAAGGTAATTTGTTAAAAGAAAATAAAAATTGTATATTTAAAAAGCCAGATAGCCAAAGAATTTTTATGGGGTTTTAATAAATAGTTTTTCCACAAAGTAGTTTAGAAAACAGATTTCACCTGGAAATCATTAAGGGTTATGTTTGTGCTTTTCCCTTTTTAAAGATTTGGTCATGTAAGGCTATAAAACCTCTTTTTTAATAATTGGAAATCTACAGTAGACACAGTTGTTCCCTTTTTAATATGTTTTACTTAGAGCATATACATAAATATAATATAACTGTGTAAAGAATGATGTTCTGATGTTCAGTTTCTTAGTCTGAAATTGTAATAAGGTAATTTGGAACTTCAAAAAGCATTTTACAATCTTAATGTTAAAAATGGAAGAAATTAAGAATTTGCATTTTATGTTTCTAAGTAATAGCTTTCCTGTTACAGAGTGAGGAAAATAATTACAACAGAATGTTCATTACATCATCTTTAGTACTGTATTACTATATTTTGGAAGAAAAAAAAAGTGACTTAGTATGTTCCTAGGCCAGCCTAAGTAGTGATTTTGATTTCTTTTGTTATTAACTTTACAAGATATGATAACATTGAACAACTACACTTAAGAAGAACCTCCTCTTTATGTCAATACAATGAGCTAAATGCTAAATTTAATTCCTGGGTTAACAAAAACTGCAAGGTTAAGACCTAATTGCAAAAGCTATCTTGTTTACCTCTGCTTTAAAAGTCTTTCAAAATAATCAGCATAAATATTCATTTATGTGGAAGGTTCTTCAAGTATAAGCTTATCTTGGGGGAAGAGGGTTCATCAAAGTTGGTCATATTTACAATATTTGAATTTACCAAAGTGTTTACCAAGCCTTAGCTGTTTTTCAGTTTAAGTTATACCACCGAACTGTGTTCCTCCAGCAATATTGCGTTCTGTGGCTTCACTTCAGAAACAAGCAGACTTGACTATGAGAAAATCCCTTCAGTAAGCCATGCAGTTTACATTTTACTGAGCGGTTTTCATGCGTTTCCCCTCTTGAGCAAATATATAACCCGTTCTTCGGCTTTCTTACCTAATGCCGATTCTGTTTCGAAAGCACGTTGCAGCTGAGCGAGATTCGTCCCCCTCCTGGGCAGCTCTGGGCAGTCTCTGAAGTCAGTCCTCTCGAGCGCGCCTTCTGATGAAGTTGGCAGAGATGCAGGAGTGATGATTACCAGGTGAACTCAGGCTGTGTTCCCCATTCCATGAGCTTCACTGGCTGTTTCGTGCCTCAGCATGCTAGTCGGCGGCATGCTGTGCTGGAGGTGTAATCTGGAGGGTCTGTTCTGATTATCCTTGAAAGCCTGGTATATACTGTACTGCGCACATCAGCTAGCGTGGCCACAGAATTCTTCAAGACAGAAAGAAAAGCTAATCTTGAGTCTTTTGTTTCCCCATTTCCATGGCTTCATGCGCAGTCCCATTCTGTAAAACAGGGCAACAAAGATGTCGCCAGCAGGCAGGACAGAACAGGAGGGGAAGAGCAGGCTTGTGTAGGGGATAGCACGATCACTTCAACAGTTTGTCATATCCGCTTAGCGATGATAGAGAACTGTGGTGCTGCAGTTAAATGGAGCTAAAGCAAAGCTCTCGGTCTAAAAGTTACAGCAGAAAGCAGTTTGGCCAGTCCTCCCTGGCTCTGACATTATGCAGATTTTCATTGGAGGTAAATCTTGAGGACAGTGATCTGCACTGAAAGCTTTTAGAATGAATTATTTGGGTGTCAGCTGCATCCCTTTAAGGCTTCTTTCAGGGAACAGTGCTCCTGAACTGCATTGTACGCGGACGCAGGGGCTTATTAAATATTCTGTTTTTGAAGAGGTTGTTTTTAAGGTCCTTCTTCCCAGGTGTTACTGTGGCAACCTGAACTCGGTTCACATCGTGCTGCGTCATCTCTCCCGCAGCCCTCTCGTCCCGCGTGCCTTTAACCCCTCGCGTGTCTCGGCAGGTGGATGTCGGGGTGGTCCACTTCACCCCTCTGGTTCAGCCCCAGATCGGCCAGCCCTTCAAACTGGTGGAAAAAGTCGTCAGGAACGTCTTTCAGTTCCGAAGGAAACACTGCCGGCGAGGAATCGAGTAAGCTGTGGTGTTTCCATCAGAGCCTTTTGAAAGCTCTGGATATTTGTCGGTTCTCGTTTATGCTGGCTTTACACTGCCAGCACGCCTTTGTCTGTGTTCATGCTAATTCCCCCATTCCCAGAAAAACAAGAAGAGCACTCAAAAGAGAGCAGGAATTATGACTCATATTAGTATTTCATAGCAAAGGAGTAAAAGAGAAAAGTTATGCAACTATAGCTGCTGCATTGACAGATTGTGCTAGTATGGGGATAATTCACGATAATACCCAGCATCACGTGGGATGAAAGCAGCCAGAAAAACTCCCACTTGTATTTATGAAGGACGTGTTATCTTCTGCTGGGGCTCCTGTGAAACGGGGGCTTCAGCGTGCGGCGAGACATACTGTACCGGGCTGAGCTCTTTTTGTTTCCTTGCAGAATGTTGTTTCCAGAAGCTCGGCGTCTGGAGCTCTCAGAGCAGATGTTACGCACGGCAGATGTGGACCCGACTCTGCGCCCGACCGAGTTATCCATTCCCCATTTCAGAAACCTGTCAGACGCCTACAGCAAACTGTGCTCAGACAACCCAGGTCTCCTCGCCTATGACTTCAGAGATGAACTGAGGAAGAAGAGAAGATCGAGGTGCATCAAAGAGGAGGAGGAAGAACTGTGATTTTTTTTTAGGGAAGTTGAAGGCTTCAACAAGGACAACAGACATTAAATCTGACATTTCACTGAGCCAGAACAATACATTATTTAAAATTGTAGTTTTTTTAAATCACTTGGGGAGTGAAAACTGTCTTGAAACCTGAAAGAAGAGATCTAGCAAATCACATGGGTTGAATGGTTTAATTGTACATATGTTCTTGGTACTGTATATCAGCCTCTGAGTGTGGCCTTTGTGTTTAAGACATTTAGGGAATTGAACATTGATGTGTTCTGAGAAATATCAGTGCTGCTGCAGCCGAGTTAAATTGGTAACTGGTGATATTATATTACACCACATAAAATGGGCAGTGGATAAAACCGATACAAGGCTTTGTTTCTGCTTGAAGTAGCACCGGTTTCCTGGCTGGATTAGAACCATAAATCCAGGCTGTTTGTTTTATAGCCCCGGATTTAGCCAGCACACAGTTAAGACGTTGTCTCGCGCGCACCGCCCAGAGAGAATGAGGACGAGCAAGCCTGTTAATTTGACACGCTCACCTGTCAGAGCTATTCTTTTTCTGGTGACATACTGGAGACCGGCGGGACCACTGGCGAAGTGGCGTCTCTCTCACTGACGTCACTGCAGGCCTACAGGCGCCTGGTAAAATTGACAGGAGATGCTGTTGTGCTAAGAGGATGTCTGTTCACACACAACCACCTGAATGGACTTTCATTCGCTTGGCATCCAGTCAGTGCGACGGCGAATGGATCTGTCTGGCAGCCTCTCATTCCGCCCTTTCGTGCGCATTAGTCCGAGTAAGCAGACACGTGCTGATTAATATGCTAATATGCATGTCCCCGACACATTGCGACTCCTGCTCTCCTCACTCCCCCTGGCTTTGAAGGGTGTTCTTTCTAACACCCATTCTAGCCCAGCAGGGCTCTACCAATTACGTGATGCCATGTGGGGCATTCCAGCAACAGCCAGCTTGTCACATAATTAAGTGACCAGATGTCCTGTTAATAGCAGACCCTTCTCATATGGGTAAGTAGCCTGCAAAAGAGAGAACAACTGGGGGGGGGTGGGCAGTGATTTCTCAAATTGCTCGTTTATATGGCCACGTTCTACAGCATATAAAACAAGAACTTTAAAATCGGCAAATATGTTGACCATACAGACTGCAGAATCTCTTCCTACACACGCATTGCCACCTTCACAGAACCAAGCCGTAAAGATTTAGAAGCAAACGAGAGGGGTTTAGCGTCCAGCAACCCACAGACCTAAAACAGCGCAGCCATAATAAAGTAGTAAATGATGAAAAATAATAAATAGTGCATTAAATCTTGCAAATATTTTTCAACAAAAGAAAAGGTTCAAATCAGGCTTTTCGTCGGCTTCTCAGTGTGGAATGAACGTCTCCTTGTTCCTTTGCAGAACCCCAGCTGACAGCTCCTTAGCTGAACCATTTTCGGGGCTGGTGAAAAGATTAAACTAAAGTTAAAAAACCTGACATTCGTGTTTGTCTCGTATTTTATCTGGACTTGGACACAAGGAATGGAAGCCATCATTATTATTATTATATGAATAATGGTCACAAAAATATGCTTCAAAGTGAAATTGACAGGTTAATCAAATTTTAGATTTAATTGGGGCCAGTGTATAGAGGTGTCACAGTACTGCATCAGCACAGTAGGCATGTAGTGAGACATTCAAGCATATCCATTCAGTAATGAGCTGAGCTGGGCAAATGCATGGATTATCCTGCTCTTTTTTGTATGCCATGTTGGATAAGGCCATTTTCAAAAATATCAGATCATGTGCGCTTATAATCACTTAAGTCATGTATTAAATGCTATTAGGATATAAATGAAATAGCCTTAAAACTGGAGACCAGGGTTTAAAACTGCTTAACCTATGTATTACACGTGGTATTGGACAGGACAGTTGTTCCTCTTATTATATATTTTTTTGTGTTCCTGTCATCTAAATACCATGGTATACCATCACTGGAAATTGTAATCCTGTAACATCGTTTTCTATAATCTGTGTATTTACTATGGTTAAGAACTCCCCTAAAACATGACCTGTGTTTATTACACAGAGGTATCGCTGCCCTCAAGAAAATAATTTGGTATCCATCATCTTATTGTGTTCTTTATGCGCTAATTTTGTGATAGCACAAGTCTCAACCCAACACCTACATCATTAATTGGCTTTCAGGTTTAACCAGTGGAATCAATTGCACGGTAGTCTTTAAATAAGTCTGTGCACGTTCTGCCATTCAGCATGGAATAAACTTTTACTTGGTACTTGGTCACAGTTCAGAACACGATCGTTCATCGTGGCGGGACGGAATTCTACAGTTCATAGGTTTTTTTATTGGATGCAGGCACCTGAAGGGCATCTTTATGAATGTTATTCATATTAATTACGCAAATGGTCTCCATCTAATATATTCAGTCATACAGTGTGGAAGTGTGGTTAGTGCTCTGGACTTCAAACCAGAAGTCTGGTGGGTTTCAAATCCTGGGGTGACCAGTGCCAACGTACTGCACTGTGAACATGCATCGATCTGAAGTAAAATGTTCTGATCAGTGTGTACACATCTGCATAAAAGCATTAGCCAGATGAATAACAACAATCATTATCACATAGTAGTGGATTCCCAGGCTAGCAAATGACCAGTGTAAATGTGTCCTTACAGCCATGTCAAAGGCGCAGGCTTGGGGAAAGATCAATAGGAATGATTAAATATACATGTTACATTTCAGCTTTGTATGGGGACTTCTAACCTAAGATAGTGTTGCATACCATAGAATTAGAGAGATAAAGGAATATCACAATCCACATTACAACTACCATCTATGAAGTAGCTTTGTGCACAGAAGATGCATTAAACAAAATGCACACTATGTTTATCAGTTTAAAATTAAAGTTAATTCCCTTTCACTGGTTTCATGGTTCTTCAGAGAAAAGAGATTTAAAAATGAGCAATATACTCGATCAGAATGTATTTTTACAGTATGTAAAAAAATGACCTTCTATAAAGTAGTGCAGAAAGATCGAAGTTTAATATTTCTAGCGACTTTTAATATGGGAACTAATCTGCTGTAATTTAAGAATCACAGATCTACCCAGAAACATAGCCAAAGTGCAACAAATATATTACCAGACTGTATTTATTGCAAATTACAGCATTTTGCTCTATCTGTACAATGTCAAGTATGTGTAAAGAATACAAAATATAAGTTACAGTACAGTCATTTAGAGAAAATACAATATACAGTCTTTAACAAAACATTAAATTAGGCCTTTGTGCCACAGAAAGCTGAAAGCTTTTTTTAAAGCGAAATAGCTGGTTTTAATAAGCAGTTTATTTGCAGTTAAGCGTACGCTGCTTAAGCAGTGCCTCAGAACACTGATAGCTACATCGATGGAGACTATTAAAAAATAATACCCCGAGTTCTCATGTTTCATATAATTTACACAAAAATAATTGTACAGTAAATCTCTCTTTATCGTTGGTCTTTAAACAATGTAAAATCCGACTCAGTCCAGGTCTGGGGGGCCCCAATGCTTGCCTTTTCCTTAAAATAAAAAAAAATAGACACCTATCGTCAATAAATAATAATTTAAAAAATCCTGCATTTACATGTAAAAAAAAAAAAAAAACAGTTAAAAGATTTAGGCAATCTGTGTTCTTAGTGCACAAATGCAGCAAGGCGGAGACCTGTTACAAGTCTGCTGTAACTCCTTGTATTAAACGGCAAACGTGTTCCCCTCATGAGGGCCTACTTCCAAAGAGGAGTGTTAGATGGGGAAGCCTGTAGAGGTCCGTAGCTTAACGCAGGTGGGGTTTGAGAAAGCCTCCCGAGACTCTACAGGGTAGGAACTGTCTGGGCCGCTTGGCTCTCGGCCGCTTCGTAGAAGCAGTCCTCGTTGACCACAGAAGCCAGGCTCTGCACGCTGAACTCCCGCTCCAGGAGAGCGTTCAGGTCCACGTTCGTCCCTTCCGACTGGCTGTCCAGGGACCGGCTGTGCTCCTTCATCGTCTGCAGAATCCCCCTGGTCCTCCTCAGGCTGTTTCCTTTCCGTTTTATGGGCCCGAAGTGCGCCCGCACCAGCTTCGGGTGCCCCTCGGGGTCCTCCGGCTCCTCCGCCCCCAGCCGAACGCGGGGGGCCGGCGCGCGGTCCTCCTCCCCCCCCTCCTCCTCCTCCTCCTCGGCGAGCTTGAGCCTCCGGAGCTGGGCCTCCAAGCCTGCGCCAGCGGGGGGCTCCCTCTTGGCCCCCTCGCAGAACTCGTCGTCGTCGCTGAGGATGTCGGACTCCTTGACGCCGCCGTCCTCCGCCGGCACGGGCTTGGAGGCCCGGGGCGCGGGCGGCCTGGGGTCCGGGGGGCCCTCTGGGGTGTGGCTGCTCTGGGTGCCGCTGCTGAGGCTGCCCTCGTCCGAGTCAGGCTGGCCCCCCTTCAGCAGCTCGTTGGCAGTGACGTCAAGGGATGGGTGCTTGCACAACCAGGAAGCTCGGGAGGAACCTGCAATCAACGGATATCACGCACTGAGTGGAAGAGCCATTTCTGTTTCAGACCCTAAGCAGCAAAAGACATTTATTGCCTATAACGGCAACTCATTCCCAGAGCCCCCTTTTTCCAGCAGGTGCACCGACAGTGTGGCAAGGACGTGGCTCATTCATCACGCCGATTAACATGTCATCGGCAGGGTGCCCAACGTTAAATATACTGACCAATACAGCATCTGGAGAATTCTGGGAGGCAATAAATGATGCACACGAGGTTACGGACGTGTCTCACTCCTCTTCGTTGCCTGTTCATTGATTTTTGAGCCCTAGATGACAGACATCATCCCAGCTCATCTTGCCAGAGATCAGCAGGGCATATCGGTCACATATCTTGTCTCGCAAGAAAGCCACTGTCCTTGAGGACTTTTATGCAGTCAGGTCAGGTCCCGGGACTTCACAAAAGAAGCCTTGTCTAGTCAGACTGCCGTCACTTCAGCAGCAATAGATACGTCTACCCAGCCCATCACACTTGAACCTCCCAAGTGTTGATTGGTCTGCTGTTCAGACCAATTAGCGCATCATTCTGCCTGTAAAGTTCTGTTCTTCTTATCCACAAAGGTGGCCAACAACGCGTACTGTACTACAACACTGCTGCCGACTCCACCAGTGCGCTGCTCCGGCATACAGACGACTAAAATCCTCTTCTTTAGAGCAGGACAGACCAGTCCCTCGGTTTTCTTCTGGTTTTGACATTCAACAGGATAAATCACCTCATTACCCAATCAGCTCCCTCACACGAGGCGATGTAGTGTGAAAGCAACCAAGTCACTTCCATCTATCACACTGCGTCAGGAATGATCAAATGGTGCTAAAAATACCGAATCAGTATCGAAAATAGATTTGGCCTACTTGTACTTGTATGCATAGTATGTGCACAATAAGCTACAGTGACATTTCTTGTCAAACTCAGGATATGTGGGATTTGTGCTTACACACTGTTCTTAACACAACTTAATGCATTTAAAATGATGGGCTGCAGGAAAGATGACTAACAAAGCGAGCTCGTTCATTTCTCGACAGCGGCCTTTAGAAGAGCCGGCCGTACGAGGTGCACCTCCGCCCGGTCATGGCAGCGAACCCGACCGAGCGAGTTTCAGCGGGGGTTTTTTTTCCCATCCTGTCAAATCGGGAGCCGGCAGGTTCAGGTGTAACCGAGCAGCGAGACTCGCCAAGGGAAGTCGAACCTCGAGCTCAATTTTCAGCTCGGCTGGTTTTCTCGACCGTTTCGGCCGCGTCTCTCCGCCCGGCGGCGGGACTCACCGATCCTGGCCGACGTGGGGACGGGGTTTCTCAGCAGGACGAGCCGCTCCCTGCAGGCCCTCTCGGCGGGCTGCTCGCAGCGCAGGTTCCGCCGGACGTTCTCCCTCAGGACGGAGCGGATCGCCTTCACGGTGCTGGCCTTGCTCTCGGGGACGCTACAGGAAAGGGCGGAGAGGCCGTTACTCGCGCGGCGGAGCTCGGGCCGCAGACTCGGCAGGCCATCCTCGCTCCTGACCCCCTCCACGAGTTCTTCGTTTCGCTTGCTTGTCCTTGATTTCATCATAATGATTCCTTACGCTTACATAGCGCTTTCCTGGAATATTTGCTGGCACTTGGTTGCTCTCCAGGTAAGCATCATCAGATTGCGAGGGACCTCCTTGCTGTTAGGGGAGTTTTAGAGGTCAGGCCCCTCCTGGTTTCCGTGGTATTATTTCCATCCAGTCAGATCACAGCTCAGACTCAAGGAGCAGTTAAAGCAGCAGCTTCAAGTCCACATTAATGGAGCTACTGACAGCAAGAGGACTAAAGGTTCCCAAAGGACCCTCCTATATCGGCAAAGCTCTACATGGGACTTAATGTAGGTATTGTAAATCCTAATCTGAGTATTACACCTTAATCTTAAAATAAATGTTCATCTGTAAGTAATGCACTAGCACATGGTATTTATTCATGTACATAATTTAAGATTTAGGATTACGGAGCGGAGTGGTGGCACTGTGGCTGAGGATCTGCGCCTGTGGCTGGAAGGTTGCCGGTTCAAATCCTGCGGCCGGCAGAGGAATCCTACTCTGTTAAGCCCCTGAGCAAGGCCCTTAACCCCAACTGCTCCAGGGGCGCTGTACAATGGCTGACCCTGCGCTCTGACCCCCAGCTTCTCTCCCCGTCTGTGTGTCTCATGGAGAGCAAGCTGGGGTATGCGAAAAGACAAATTCCTAATGCAAGAAATTGTTGCCATTTTTAAACAATATTCAGTCTTTTCTCCGTTCAGGAACAGACTCCAGCCCTGTGACCAGCCTGCCACTCCTACAGCTGTTTGCATACCGCTTTAGGACAACTACACCGTGCTCATGTCAGAAGAGGGAAACTACACTGAGTTCATTTACAAAATAGAGCGTGCTCTACCCGCGGAAGACGTGGAAGACATCGGGCAGCTTCCTGAGCTACTGGCAATCAAATAACCAGATGGTAGTCTTCCTTATGCTCCTGTTCTGAGCACAGTGTTTGCGGAGGATGTCGAGGAAGGCTAATGTTATTCATGGCAAACTGTAAACAGGCACATGAGTGCATCGTCTCATGATTCTTACAGGCTGTCGGCTTCAGCTCCATGAGAGGAGGGCAGCAGCTTGACCCTGACTGAACAGCCACGGTAATTCCCCCTACCTGCTGCACAGCTGGAAGATGGTTTCTGGTCTCCCTTCGATTTCAGATTTCGTGTGGATGAGTTCCCAAATGCAGTTTGTCTCTGTCCCTGGGAAAACAAAATTAAGAAAATCGATTGACTTTTTAACCCACAGAATGAACAGCCCGAAGAGAACAGACTTGTGGCAGAAAAACCACGTTTCACAGTCACAATCGTCTACGTTCCATCCTTCAACTTCCTACCGCATGCCTTAAATATAACACTGGGCAAAAAGCGAGGCATTTTCTTCGAGGGTTAGATCTAATCCATTAACCAAAAGTAAGCCGATAAAACGCATTTTATTGTAAGCTCTTTGAAAGGTATAACTGAGGCACAGAGAATATAAATGATTGATAACGAAAGTGCACTTCACATCGCTCGAGAGACGCAACCGTGTGCTGACGTACGAGGTTAAGGGACGGATCTCTGGCCGGGCACCGGCAGCAGGTGAAGACCCCACTGACCCCCCGAGTTCCCC